AGTCAGCCCCTCCAAAATTGGGGTCCATTTATTAAATGGGGAAACTGATTTTCTGCTCAGAATAGAAACACCCTGTTTTGATCTGTGTTCCACAGTGTAGCACCTCTGGGTGCTGGCAAGGGGGGCACAGGGGTCAGCCCCAGGCTCTGATAGCAGAATCAGGCAGCCAAGGGGCTGGCTGGGACACAAGGGTGCTGAAGTGTGGGGCTAGGTGGCAGGCATTTCCCACATTTTGGCACCCTTGTCCCCTAGCCAGTCCCTGTCACATGCATTTCAGCGGTGTTAAGTAGTCTGTTGTAAGATAGTACTGTCCCCGCCAGTACTATCTTATAGCAGAGTTAATTGATTTACTGTGACCTAATACTGGTGCACATGTAGGTGATGCTTTACTGGGGAGCTAATCAGTCAACTCTACAGTAAAATGCGCCTTCTGGTATTACTGTTCAGGAAGCTGAGGAAGTCGGTTGATTCACTTCAGAGGTGTTAACAACTGTCTTTCCTTTTTAATGGTCTTGATATTTTGCTAATCAAACTAACCTTTCTTAGTTTCAACTTTCAATTTAAGTTGGTCTAATAAAGGATATCAGATTCACCCAAAAAACCTTGTCTGCCTATAACCTTTCTTAGCGCAGTTTTGCTGTCTGCTAGGTTCTGGATTATTTTTTCTGTTTCACAGCTCTTTAGCTCTTTTCAAAATTTATAGGTCCAACCAGGGACTCCAGTATTCAGTCTCAGCTAGGCTTTTAGTTAAGCAAGTGAGTCAGATTAGGCTCTGTTTGTGCTCTCTGCAGTCATAACTTTTGAAAAAAAACCTTTTTTCTTCATTCTGCCTTTTAAAAACCACAGTTGTGTGCAAGAAAATACATTAGCTGCCTCAGGGGTTTACAGGATTATGTAGCAGCTGGATAGTGGTGTTGAAATGGTGGATTTGGGTGCTTACAGGCATGTCTGTATCTCTTTGTCATGTTGAAAAATGCCACACTGTTTTGTACATGCTGCTTCCCAGACCAGAAATAGTGTAGCCATGTTCATTTAGTACTGTTCTGGGGCTAATTAGCTTTATGGAAAGGCATTGTTTGTCATCTTGCTATTCCATGCGAAGGCACTGTAATACTTCTGTTTCAAGAGCCAGTGCAGAAGGTTTCTGTACAGCAACCACCTGACATGGTAAGGTAGTGGTATGGACTTGCCTGAAGTATCTTTGGGATTCTAGGCCTTCATTCTTGCATGGTCTCTATTTCATTGTAGCAGTTCAAGTGTTGTCAGTAATACAGTGCTGTACTGAAGCACTCCAGAGATTATGTATGCTTTGTTTACATGTCTGTGGTGAAACTGAATAACTGTATTCTGCCACATCAGGAATAATCCCATGTTTTTTCTTATTTAAAATAAAAATACAAATTGCTTAACTTTCAGGACAGGAAACTACCAGTATAATCATAGACTGACAATTGTTTTTATGTTTCCGCCCTTTCTCTTCCAGGCATCCTACAGGGGGGTCCTTTATCCGTCCAGACAAGGTAAATTTTGGTGTGGGTTTTCTTACTGCAGTGAAGAACCGCTATGGATTGAATGATGAACAAGATGTGGCATGTGGGAAAGACGATGAGTTAGTCCTTGGAAAGAAGACTGTGGAACTTGTTGGCTTTGACTCAGTTTTAGAGGAACAAAGGCAAGTGTAATATATACTTGTAACTCTGAAGTTTGTTGGGAGGAAGGCATTAATGCTGAGTTGAGTTTTGCCTTTAATTGGGGGTCAACCTCTTATAGATGAGAACAATGCATCTTTCCCAGAATACAGTACTTAAGGAAATATTGTGGGGGTTGTTTTATTCTGAGAGTTTATACACAGCCTTTTTTAGAAAGTAAACTTAAAAATGGGTCCTTAAATTGTAGCATCTAGTGTGAGGCCTTCTTAGTTCCTATAGATCCCAGTGACAGATTATTATAATTCAACTTTCTTATATAGTTAGAACTCACTAAAACATTGTGCATTGACTACATTTGAATCATTTTTAGGATTAATGGCCATTTTTCTATCATTCTTAAATGGTAACTTTATTTTTAAGCAGAAACTAAAGGATACAATGCTCTGTTACGGAGAACTCCACAAAAAATTGTCCTCTTTCCAAACGGTTGCCATTTCCTAGTGTTTTTATATGGACAAACCACCTTAACTTTGATCTAGTAATGCTATTGACTGAATGAAAGGAAAAATGTATTTAAGAAAATTTAATCCAGTCTGGGCCTACAATGATATGAATGATCACTACAGGACAGAATTAAGGTTTCTGCTAAAAGAGAAATAAGGACAATAAGGAAGGAAAGGCTATTAATCCTAAATATAATTCAAATATATTGCTCACGCGCAAGATTCCAGTGAGTATTTAATGTATGGGAAGTTAATCTGCCAGAACAAATAAGGTTGCTTTGTGCATTTCCATATCTTAATGTGTTTGGGTTTCTTTTAGGTTATGCTTAATGTATAACTTACCTGGGCTTATAATAATTTCTTTGAGGATAAATATGACATCTTTGTAATGTTACCCTAAATTACTGATATATATTCTTAGCACTATATTTGATAAAATAGTTTTGAATTCTGTTTTAAATATTCAAAGGATTGGATAACGTGGGCCTGATATCAAGATTTTTGGGTCACCTTATTTTTACAAAATTATATGAATGTAAATTATCTTTATTTTTTGTTTTCAATTAAAATTTTTTTAGGGGTGGGGTTAATCTTTTGCCTGTAGGGTTGAGCCCACATTAAGCAAGACCATGAAATGAGAATGTGAACATTATTTGGGATAGACACTAAAACTGTTTCCAATTGAATGAAATGGCCAAAACTATGAGATGAACAATAAATTTAATGGGTAGTTCTTTATATTATGATAATCATTATATAATAATATATTAAGATAATCTTTATATTAAGATTACATAGATATATCAAGTGCATGGGTTGGGGGGGCGTTAAAAGTGTTATTTTACATTGTTTCATGGGTGTACTTGGTAGCCATGTTGGTCTGAGACGAAAAGATATTAAAAAACTAGAACTCTTGGTTCCAAAATGATACCTTTTATTAGACCAACTGGAAAATGGCAAGAAAAATGTCCTTTTTTGCAAGCTTTTGGGATCAAAGTCCCTTCGTCAGGCTCTGGGAAAAGTGTAGATGGTGCAAGATGGTAAAAAGTCCCCATAGGTAGGAAATAAACTTAATTTTTGCACAGAAGGAGCTGAAGATGGAAGGCTGTCCCTCTGGGTCCATGAGAGTGTCATATATTTTATATTCTTAACATTTAACATTCATCCGAAGGGCAAAGGAAAGGCACTTGACCTGTAAAGGACAACGAAGCTCTTTGGCTGGTAGCATCTTTATCACATGCATATATTTTGCATTCCTTACCAGTAATTTATGCAGGCTGACAAGACTAAATGTTATATTTAGTACTACAGTGGTTTATTTTTGAAAAAAAAATGGGGCCATAAGGTTCCTTTATGAACTTTTGATATATAAATTTGCAACTCTTCCTGTTTTTAGTGATCCTTTCACATGTATATGTAATACTTATTAACATAAGCCAGCTATCTTCCATCAGATGAAGAATGTCCATTAGTTGTTGAGGTTTCTGGCTCATATTAGCATGTTACCTTGAGATTTAATTTTCTAGGATTTCAGAAAATCAGCAGTACTGTGCTTGGTTGGGAGATGCTAATATAGCACTACTGTTGGCATACAGATATGCAAGACATGATCCCAGTGTCTAGTTGCTCCAAACTTAAATTTGACTTCACACAACAGGAGGTGATGACAGGCATTTGAGGGCTTGGATAAGAGAAGAGCGAGAATTAGAATAAATTAACAATTATCATACATAAATCGATATTCATATTTTATTAATGTTGTACAGGGTATATTTTTTTAAATGTTAGTACTCCATGCTATACTCTCTAAATAAAAAAGGGAGAGGCAGAAAGCCAGAGTACCAAATGGCAAGGGGCTGTCTTCACCTGTTCTAAGTAGCTTCTGTCACTCCTTGCTGTGTATGGGGCAGAGGAGGAGGAGAAGGTGAACTAGTTTTTGATGATAAGGAACAAACTGCCTGTACACTGTTATCCCTGTGGGGCACCTGCAGCATCTTGGTAGTGACAATTCAGTAGATGGCACTCTTCCTCTCTGAGTTGACATTCAACCAATTTTTCCTGCTCTGTGCGCCTCAGAGGCTGCTGATCAATTGAAAATGCCATTTTTGTCAGCGGCATAAAACAACTGATTAACATTCTTGTAGTTGATCTTTTGCAAAACTTGTAATGTTAATGCTGGTGCGCTGACCAGTTTCCAAACTGGGTAACTGCATTTTTCATACTTGAATTTGATTCCAGATGGATGGAGTCATTTTCTTTGCTACTTGTCCAGCATTGTTTTTCCAGTGTTTCTGCCTTTTACCCTGGTCAAAAGAGTGTTTCTGTGATCAGTTGAAGATGATACAACTATCTGGCTATAAATAGTTTTCATAATAGCAACCCCAAAAAAGTTTTTAAAAAATGTATCCTGTTTAGGCTTAATATCAATGTGCTTCTAATTCATCTGCCATTTTTCTCTTTGTTTATAATTTGACACTTTTTCATATAGTCAGCTGAACAAATTGGAAAACATCTCAGTGAGAGAATGTGCAGTGAGCCATGTAGGTCAGAAGGAGGAAATTAACAGAACGTGTCCTAGTATCCTTTTCTAAAGGTGCTGTATTATGTACTACCACTTACTAAAATAAAACATGTTTTTAGCATTCCATACTTACTTTATAGAAATTAAGCAATTATATTCTATTATCAAACGGTTATTTTCAGATCAGTTTAATTACTTTGCATTGTATATAGGGGTGTAATTCAATCTTCATTCTTTTTACTGTTTAAAATCCTAGAATATATTTGGAATAGGGTTACTGGGTAGAAAAGAGGGGGTAGGGAACTATGCTTATTTAATTAACTATTGTCATTGACTCAAGACTTCAGAAGGTGCAGTTGTGGTAGAAATTATGGGAATTTTTAAAAATAATCTGGCATAGGACAAAGCCATATAATCTTTAATGTAATTGCTGGAGAAGAGCTTTGTAGGCACAAGAAGCTGTGTGTGTGTAATGAATAAGGTATTCAAGCTCCTGTGTATTGTAGTTATATGTTACTAAAATACATAGTAGAAATTATACTGTTTTAGGACATCAAAATTGTATACTCGTACAAAAGTAAGTTTATAGCTAAAGATATAGCTTGCTTTATCTTTATCTAAAGGTATAGCTCTGGTCTCTGATATATTTCTGATATATTTTCTTAATGTGAATTCTCAGTTATCAAGAGTATAGACTTATCAAAAAATCTGTTGTCATCGTGGGAAACAGTGATAGATATCGCTAGTCAGGTACAGAATCTGGAAATACTGCATCTCAGGTATGACGATATGTATTTTTTATTTCTGCTTCTTTTGTTAGGGATATATGGCTTGATACTTAAATGAAAGCTTGATTTAAGGATCTAAATTTCCTTTAAAAAATAATGGGAGTTAAGTGCCTGGCTACTTCTTATAAATTGGCTCTTATTTTTTTCTGTTCTTGCCATATCTTCCAGAAGTATTGAATACTGAGGAAGGACTAGATCCCCAAGGAGGTTTTGTGCATCGTTTTGCCAAAACCAGAAATATGGGGGTAGTCCTAAATTCCAGTTTGTTTCAAAGCTTGAAGAAAATACTGTACAACTTGACAAATCATGATTCTATTAGAAAAGTGATTATTATTTCACAAGACTGCTACAGTTGAAAAGTACAAATATGCCTTTATTGTTTTAGTCTACTTCACATATTTGACAGTACTTTGCACCTAGCTAGTTCCAGAGTTTCCAAGCAGATTGGAGGAAGTAGACTGTCTAAAAAGTTCTTGTAAATGTCAACAGGGAAATTGAATCCTTTTAAAGAAAGTTTATAAAAATATAACAGTTTAAATAAAAAAGGAGGACATACTGTTTAAAGTGTGTTGGGTTAGGAACCAGAGTTTTAAAAATTCAAGTTGGCATAGTAAGATGTGCTCTGTAGAATTTTATAACAAAGAATGTTAAACTGCTTTGCTGCTTCCAGGGTGACACCTTCATGCCTTGTTCAAGTACTGAGGGCTCACTTGGTTGTTGTGAACTTGAGCTAACTATTAATTATCTGGTGTTTTTCAAACCTGTTTTTTCTTGTGTTTTCGTTCAGATAAGTTTTAAAGATTCTCTTGTAGGAAAGCTTTAGTCTAAGTTTCGTTTTCTGGGATTTTTTTTTTGTGCTTATGCTGATTGCTTTTTACTTTGGGATTTAATCTCCCGGGGTTTTTTTGTTTGTTTGTTTGTTGGTTTTTCATGTCTATCCCAAAATCAGCTTTTTTCAGGCATCTGATTTTTATCTAGAGAAATATGTTTTATTAAGAATGTCTGTTCAGTACCAAACTGAAATATACTCTGAGGCCCAGCCCACCTGCCCTGAAACAATTCTGGCTAGAATGTTGGACCACAGTGAGTAACAGGAAAAGTCTCTCTGATAATATTTGTGTGTCAGTGAGTTCCTGCTCTACAAATAACGCCCCCACCCCTTCTCTCCCCCCTGCCCCCAAGGGAAAAAGGTGGCTTTAAATGGAGCAGTATTGCCAGGAGATGGGGAAGAAATTCACAGATTAGCACAGATGTTCCCAAATGTGTGGAGGGTTCCCCCACCCCAATGGATTTAGAAGAAGATATAATGGGGGCAAATTCATCCAGGGTCATTCTATATTGTAGACTTGCAGTGCCCAACAGTGGTGCCCTCAAGCAAGCTGTGCTGCTTTGTGCCTCCTAAACTGGAAGTAGGGTTTCTGTGTCCATGTGGTATTTGAGGTGGGGTATTTAACACTGGTGAATAATGAGGTGAAATAATCTGTCCCTAAACTAATTAATCTGCCCATGTCTCCCTATATTGACTGCTTCTGGAATTATCTGGTTGCCAGCTCAAAACTGTGTTGCGCCCTTTAGGGTGTTACTGTCAGGCATCATAACCTTTCATGTAGACATGGCCAGAGTGTGATCCTGAGGTTTTCTCATAACTAGCTGTCTTTGGATGTAATTTTGCAAGAGGAAAGATGGGAGCCTAATCAGAAATACTTAGGCAGAAAAATTAATAATCTATAATTGTTCTTTACAGATTTGAGGCCTGGAAAATATGATTTTTGAGGACAGGCTGAAAGAACTAGGATTACTTAGTCTGGAGAAGAAGACTGAAGGGGAATTTGATAAAAGTTCTTGCATACTCAAAGGGCAATTACAGAGAGGGTAGAGATGGGTCTCTGGCTATAGGGGACAGGACTAGAAGCAGTGACCTTAACCTGCAGCAAAGGAAATTTAGGTTGAAAATGAGGAGGAACTTTTTGACTATGAGCTAGTCAAGCATTGAAACAGGCTACATAGAGAAGATGTGGAGTCTCCATGCCTGGAAATTTGCAAGAGCAGGTTAGATAAATTTGACTGGGATGGTTTAGTCAGGGATCATCCTGCCTTGAGCAGGAATTGGGCTAGATCAGTGGTGCTCAACTTTTTTTTTGGCAGGTCAGATGGGCAGTGCCGGTCCATCCAAAGGCCAGATGTATCCAGTGGCCCTTATCTGGCATCTAGGGCAGGTGTGGCAGGGCCCCATCCAGGCACACAGAGGGGGCAGGGGGCAGCCTGGCTCAATACAGCCCTGCCTCAGGGGAGGGGACATGGTCCAGAAAGGGAGCATGGCCCAGCTTTGACCTTAGCCCAGTGGCACAGAGAGTAGGGGGCATGGCCTACCCCAGATTTGGCTGTGGTGGTGGAGGGGATATGGGAATTTGGCAGCAGGGAAGGGTGGCCACTGCTGTCTCTCTGCCAGATTTCCCAATCCATGGGAGCCCCACAGGCCAGATGCAATGCCTTCCCAGGCCTCATTTGGCTTGTGGGCCAGAGGTTAAAACACCCCTCAACTAGATTATCTCATGAGGTCCCTTCCAGACCTATATTCCTATGATACTAAGGTGATCTGTATTTATGATTATTTTGCCTCCCTTGTAATTGAGATCTGTCCTTTGTTTTTGTCATTAGGCCTATCTAATAGGTTTGAGAGATTTGAGAGCAATCAGAGATATGTGGGACAAAGGTGACTTTGTTGCTTTGGGGATAGTCTAATTTTGTTTTCATGACTGTCAGAGGCAGCTGGAACCTTGGAAAAGTACACTTTTTATAAATCAGTAGTAATTTTTAGGCAGTTGCAAATGTACTGAGGGAGGAGGCCTGAGACTGCACTTATCACTGGATGTGTCTACATGAGACACTTTACTGCGCAGTAGAATCATAGAACTGGAAAGGACCTGTAAGATCATTAAGTCCAGTCCCCTGCTGTGGGCAGGAAGTTATTGGGCTCAGACAAGCTCAAAAAGGTACCCGTCCAGCCTCATCTTGAACACGTCCAAGGATGGTGACTGCACCACCTCTGTTGGGGAGTGTGTTTCAGATTCTGGCAACCCTGGCAGAGAATAAGTTTTTTCTTATGTCTAGACTTAATAGACTTATCTACTGCACAGTAAGGTGTCACTGACTACACATATGCACATTTACTGCACAGTAAATTAATCTATTGGGTAGTTAGTTACTGCCCATGAATACAGGTAGCAAACTATCTGCGCGGTAGATACCATTGCATGTGTAGACACTGGGCGGGAGGAAATTTGCTCCCAGTCAACCCTTATGCTAGGAGGCCACAGGGGACTCGGAATTCCCCCTGTCCTGGCACTACTTAGCTCCCAGCTCCCCCAGGATGTGGGAGCCAAGCAGCACCAGGATGGCGTAGCTCTCTGAACCCTCCTCCATAGATTCATAGAAGTAGTGTCGGAAGGAAACTTGTAGATCATCAAGTCGGACCCCCTGCCCTGGGCAGGAGAGAAAACTGGGCTCAAATGACCCCAGTCAGGTAGACATCAAGCCTCCCCTTAAAAACCCCCAGGGTAGGAGCCATCACCACTTCCCTTGGAAGTTGGTTCCAGATCCTAGCCGCCCTGACTGTGAAGTAGTGCCTTCAGATGTCTAGTCTAAACCTACTCTCTAACAATTTGTGGCTGTTATTCCTTGTTACCTCGGGGGGCGCTAGGGGGAACAGGGTCTCTCCCAAACCCTGCTGGTCCCCCCTGGTGAGTTTATAGACGGCCACCAGGTCCCTCCTCTGCCGCCTTTTGCGAAGGCTGAACAGGTTCAGGTCCCGTAGCCTCTCTTCATAGGGTCTGCCCTGCTGTCCCTGGATCATGCGGGTGGCCCTCCTCTGGACCCTCTCAATGCTGTCCACATCCCTCCTGAAGTGTGGCGCCCAGAACTGAACACACTACTCCAGCTGCGGCCTGACCAGTGTTGCATAGAGGGGGAGGATCACCTCCTTTGCCCTGCTAGAGATGCATCTGTGGATGCACGACAAGATACGGTTAGCCCTATTGACCGTGACCTCACATTGTCGGCCCATGTTCATCTTGGAGTCAATAATGACTCCAAGATCTCTTTCTGCCACCGTGTTCTCAAGAAGGGAGTTTCCCAGCTTATAAGTGTGCTGCCGGTTCCCACTGCCCAAGTGCAGCACCCTGCATTTATCAGTATTGAAACCCATCCTATTTTCGTTAGCCCACCCCTGTAACCTGTCCAAGTCCTGCTGTAATCTGTCCTTCCCTACTAGCGTGCCCACCTCACCTCAAATCTTGGTATCATCATCAAATTTAAACAGGCTGCTTTTTACCCTGTTGTCCAAGTCACTAATAAAGAAATTGAACAGTGCGGGCCCAAGGACCGAGCCCTGGGGGACTCCACTGCCCACTTCCCTCCAGGTCAAGGCCTTGCTGAAGTCCAGAAAGACTACATCCACCGCGACACCTGTGTCCCGTGCTTTTGTGACCTGATCGTAGAAGGCAATCAGGTTGGTCTGGCAGGACCTGCCCCTAATGAAACTGTGCTGGTTGCCCTTGAGCATTATCTCTGCTGCTGGCCCATCACAGATGTGCTCCTTGATGATCTTTTCAAAGAGTTTCCCCAGGATTGAAGTAAGACTAATGGGCTTATAGTTGCCCGGGACCTCCCTCTTCCCTTTTTTTGAAGATGGGGACCACGTTGGCTTTCTTCCAGTCATCTGGCACCTGGCCAGAGCACCACGAGTGCTTGTAAAGCCGTGCCAGGGGCCCCGCAATAACCCCTGCCAATTCTCTCAACACACTGGGGTGGAGAGCATCTGGATCTGCTGATTTGAACACGTCCAGCCCCTCCAGAAGCTCTCTAACCCGGTCCTCCCTGACTTTAGGTCTGACAACGTTTCTCCCAAGTCCATCTGGAATCCTGGTCAGAGAGTCCTGGTCCCTGCATAGGAAAATGGGGGCAAAGAATTTGTTAAAGAGGTCTGCTTTCTCCTCTGGTGCAACCACCAGATTGCCAAGCTTATCCTGCAGGGGCCCCACATTACCCGGTGCCTTCTTCATTCTCTCTATATATTTAAAAAAGGACTTTTTATTATCTTTGATCCTTGACGCTAACCCTAGCTCCATATCTGCCTTAGCTTTTCTAACAGCCCCCCTACAGACCCGAGCGGTGGAGTTATCCTCCT